AGTAAAATTTGCATACATCAATTAATTAGCCTAATCGGTATTGAAATCTATTTATAGACGATAGTCGTATTAGAGCCCCTTAGAGTCGAGTATCCTCAAAGTCCTTAAAATTTAAAACTAGTAAGGAAAATACCAAAGTGGGACGAGAGGAGGATTAAATATGTGTTATATATATATATATCTATAGGTTAACCGGTAAATTTTCGTATTAATCGGATAGACATATGGACATGGGTATATCCATTTTATGTAATCATACAATATTATATATAAAAACTATTATTGAACTATATACATTCTAGAATCAATTTAGTTCACTGTGCAAAATTCCGTCACGACCGAACAAACGTAAGTGAGCTATATCTAATTCTGAGCCGATTTGAATCAATCTAGCAAATGTTGGGTTTGGTGCAACATTTACATGAAATCTAAAATCTGAACCGATTTTCATCAATTCAAACAGAGTTCGTCGTTAGTCCAATTAAATGTGCTGCTCCCAATTACATCTCGCTCGGATTATAAAGTCTTTGTTTACAACAAGTCAGAATGTAATTTTATGTATGTATATCCTTTAAATAGAGAGGCTCTATTTAAATTGTAACAGTTTTGACTTTTAGTCTACAGTTAACTTTTTCTTCTTCGTTAAATTAGTTTTTCCTGATAAGTAGACGATTAGTCTCTGCAACCTATCCCAGGTGATGGGGCTGCCATCTATCGTAGCCTAGAAACAATGTATATTTGATTTTGTACATTGGTTTGTGTCCTCGCTTATTTAGTGTAGCAATCCCCTGACATTCCTCTTTTGAATTATCCTCATGTTGTGATATTGAAGCCGAGGATTGGGATATATTTCAGGGAGTTTGGGATATATTTCATCTGGAGGAGATTGTCGAATTATTTTTCCGCTGAAATTTGAACCCGGGAACCATCGGTATGTTGTCTAGCAAACTATTTACAGCAAGACATAGTTTTATGTAAAATGTTTGATGTTGCATCGAATGCATTGACTTTAGACTTGTTTTACATATGCAATTTTTATAATTACCTTTTGTGCAGCTCTTCAGAATTCTTAGGGGATTGAAGTAAGTTAGGGGGGTAAGTAAGTAAGTAAGATTGAAGAAGCCAAGCTGTTTTTAACAAACCCATTTTGGAACGATTTCCATAAATGTCTGTACTTCTTCAATTATTGTCAATTCTAAAGAAATATATTTTTCAAATTTATTTACCTCCTACAAAACACCTAAAATATTTAACAAAGCCTAAATAAAATCATGAACTTGGATACGAATTTCTCCTGCACCGATTTTATACCAAGCGACACTTCAAGCAGCGTCAAAATTGGTGGAGATTATCCCTATCAGAGAGCCCAGCCAGCAAGCGCAGAATCAGAGGAAAATATTTCGAAACGAAATGAATCGGTAGGGCAGTGTCCCTCGGGATTGTTAACGAGTACTTCATCCTCCTCCTCGGTCATTAGCAGTGCTCTCTTCAATCAGGATTGTCGTAAGCAAAAATTGCCCCGTCCCGCAGCACCAAATATTGGCTATGAATTGTCGCTGGCCAAGTCGATAATGCAACAGTACAGCAGCATAAGTGGTGATAATCTGTGAGTAACATGCAAGCTTGGTTATGGAGAGTATATTAATTATACCCTCAATGATAAGGTGGACTAGATATTAAATTTGCCATTGCGTTTGTCACAACTCAAAATATATGTAGGATACCCCACATTCACATATTCATTTTTAGAATACTATGCATGTCCTTTGAGACTGAATACTATTCATGTCCATAAGACAGAGCACCTAAAAAGTTTGAAAATGGTAGATTTAGGTCGTCTCGGAACGAAATAGTTCAAAAGAACTATTCACCAAAGAACGATCGATTCTAGGCCAGTTCCTTAGTTCAATTTGCTTCAATCGTTCCTTTTTATCTCGTTCACTAAGTTCCGTTCAATCCAATCATTAAACAAAAAGGAACTAAATTTTCGAAACAGGTATACAGTGTGGGTCTCCTTTCCGGTATTTTTGGCTACATTTTCCCAACGAAGTGACTTTATTTGCCATTCTAGGTGGGTAAAATACCTATTGAACTAAAAAAAACTATAGAACTAAATTAATGACCTAGTTCCTAGTGAACCGAAAAAAATCGAACCGCCTTAGAAACGAGATTTTTCAACTCTAGAGAATGCGATAACAAAATCATCTTATTTTCGGTATTTTACAAATTTTAACTAAATTTTCGAACCATAGTCATCTTTTTTAGAGTTCGGTTTCCTTTCCGGTATTTTTTAGCAACATTTGCCATTCCGAGTTCTAGTTGGGTAAAATACCTATTCACAGAAATTTCTTAATATAGGGTTACGCCTTAATACATATAGTCATAGTTAGTCAATGTGGCTGTAATTTGACATTTCAGATTATGGGTGGACAAAATTCCTCTATACAGACCGATTTTAGGTATTTTGAATGTATAAAAAGTTCGGCCAGATCGAACTTCACGATATTTCTTATTTGATTTTTTTCCAGTTTCGACCATTTATCGGACATAATAAAACGTGTCATAGACGAACGGCCACCAAATGTCATTGATTTCTTCGAAGAATTCAGTCGCAATGTTCGTGAACAAAAACTCCATTTGCCGGAGAGGTTTCCATCCAATGGAGTCTACGAGGAACACCCACTATATAAGGTGGCCAAGAAACAATTAATGTCGATGAAATTACCCATGATCGATTATACGAAACCTGGTATCTCAGAGGAGGACTTGGAAGAAGATCACCAAAAAGAAGACGATCTAAAATTACCATTAAAACCCGATTACGCCTATAAGTTCCGAATATTCAATGAACGTGTTCAACATCTGCAATTTTATTGGAATCAATGTGGTTTTAGTATCTCCTCCGAAGATATATTCCAACTGGCCTGTTCAATGGATCGCATACAGACACACCCGTGTATAAGGCAATGCCGTTTTTGGGGTATGATAAATGGCCTGAAGGCTTCATATTATATTGTGGAGGCCTTGCTGACAAACGAAGAAATTGATTCGAGATTTTTGCAAATGCATAAAGAAATCGAGGAGATGCAATGGAGAATGCCAGAGGAGGTAAAACTACCCTCACATATTGGTCCTGAATTAACACCAGGTTCGGTGGGTTGGGAAAATTATCCGGCAGATGAGTTGGATAAAATGATACCTCCAGCCATGCCCATACCCACGGTTAAAACTGAAGAGCTATTCGACATACCACCTGAACCCATAGGACGTGGGGTAAATCGTTTTTCATATTTTGTCGTGAACTCCCTCTCCGATGAATGGATTGAGTTGCCGATTTGTACACCCAAACAAATTGTGATTTCTCGTAAGATTAAGAAATTTTTAACGGGAGATTTGGAAGCGGATATTATTTCATATCCTTGCTTTCCCGGCAAAGAGAAACATTATTTGAGAGCTATGATTGCTCGTATCACGGCGGGTACTTATATTGCTCCCAAGGGGTATTATCGCAAAATGAGTAAAGCTGAGCAACGTCTCTTTGATGGTATTGTGGATGATGAAATGGGCGACGAGGAAGATGAGGAACATGAAAGCACAGTCTTTGGTGAGGGAGAAGGGGAGGAGGGTGAAGGAGAGCAAGGTAAGGAAAATTATTTTTTAGAACAATTTCATTTCCAATAGAAAGTTTCTTTAAATGTTTTCTCTAATGACATTTTTATTGAATTTTTAATTTATATGGAAAATTTCATGAAATTTTATTTCTAAAGAAATTTTCATGAAATTTTATTTCTGTAGAAAATTTCATGAAATTTTATTTCTATAGAAAATTTTATTTCTATAGAAAATTTTATTTCTACAGAAAATTTCATGAAATTTTATTTCTATAGAAAATGTCATGAAATTTTATTTTTATAGAAAATTTCATTGAAATTTTATTTCTATAGAAAATGTCTTGAAATTTTATTTCTATAGAAAATGTCATTTTATTTTATTTATATAGAAAATTTCATTGAAATTTTATTTCCATAAAAATTTTCATTAAAATTTTACTTTCATAGAAAATTTCATTAAAATATGTGCCCTTGCAGATAACGATATTGTATTTGTCAAAAACGAAAAATATATTCCCCGACCCCTAACCTCCCTGAACAACCCCTCACAATGGCTTCATGCTAGACCCAATATCCTCAAACAAGGACGAGTTACTTGGTTCGATGAAGGAAAGGCAAAACGTGATCGTCAACGTGAACTTAAACGTTTGGAAAAATTACGACGCCTTCAAGAAATGGGTCTGGAAGAAGGGAACAATGAGGAGGACGAAGAAGAAGATGAAAGTGAGGAAAACGATTCCGAAGAAGGTGGTGACGAAGAAGAAGAACTTGAAGAACCAGAATTACGAGAATATGGCCCATCCATACTAACACCCTGTTCTCGTGATGCGAATGATGAAATGTCCGTGCCATGGATTGGACGTTTTACTAGTAATTTTACCAATAGCAACGAACGGATTTTAATAATGCGATCCAATCTATGGCCCGGAGCATACACTTTTGCTTTCGAAGATCTTTGTGATTCCATTTATTTGGGTTGGGGTAATAAATATGTCAGACGTAATATGACGTGGCATCATCCACCCGAACCAGCTGAGGAATATCCTCATGAGGCAATGGATTTTGTGGAAGCCACAGATCCCAGTGTGGAATTGGAGGAGGCTTATCGTTTGAGTTTGCTGAAAAAGGAATTACAGCTAGGGGATATGGGGGAGCATTTGATGGATTATGAAAATGAGTCACATGAATCGGCAGATGATAATACTGATGATGATGAGGACGAGGAAGAAGAGGAGGAGGAGGAAGAAGAGGAGTAATAAAACCAGTTTGAAATTACTTAAATAAATATCGAATAATTTATTGATTAAATACATTTTAATAAAATTAATAATAATAACAGGGACTTGTTTTCAAAAAGGACGATTTGTGTGTGTGTTTTTTTTTTCTTTCCTACTTCTTGCCTTGGTTAATCATCTGTTCGTGTATGGCCAACGGCTCCTCGGAGAATTGTACTTTGGTATAATGTCGCTTCAGTTCTTCTTTCAATTCTGTACTGTGGGCCCAATCTCTCGTCTCACAAATTACTTTCACCTCCACAGTGTAGATATCCTTCAGCCAGGCACGTTCATGCATAATATCCTTAATGGATACACCAAGATCCGAGAGAATTTCACACAGCTCATGAATGCCACCGGGACGATCAGATACTTCCACATTGAATTTAACCAAACGGCCTTCGGCGGCCAATCCACGCTCCAAACAACGACCAAAAACTGTGGTGTCGATATTACCACCGCACAGCAGGATAACGACCCTGGAAACAAATATTGAAATTAAAATGTTGAAATATTTCGATACAAATTTCAATTGAAACGGAATTTTCTAATGAAATAAAAACATTTTCCATAGAATTTAAAATTTCAATGACATTTTCAACTGAAATAATATTTTGTATAAAAATTAAATTTCAATGAAATTTTCTAATGAAACAAATATGGAAATAAAATTTCAGTGAAATTTTCTATTGAAAAAAAACTTTAATGAAATTTTCTATGAAAATAAAATTTCAATGAAATTTTCTGTTGTAATAAAATTCCAATGAAATTATCTGTTGAAATAAAATTTCAATAAATATAAATGTTGAAATATATATATATATATATATACTGAAATTCTATTTCATGAAATTTTCTATAGAAATAAAATTTCATGATATTTTCTGTAAAAATAAAATATCATTGAATGTTTCCTTAAAAAATAATGTCAATGCAATTTTGTATTGAAAAAATTGCATGAAATTTTCGATAGCAACGAAATTTCAAAAGAAACTTTCTATAGAAATAAAATTGCAATAAAATGTTTATGTGAATTAAATAATATTTCAATGAAATTTTCTATTGAAATAAAATTTCAATGAAATTTTCTATTGAAATAAAATTTCAATGAAATTTTCTATTGAAATAAAATTTCAATGAAATTTTCTATTGAAATAAAATGTCAATGAAATTTTCTATAGAAATAAAAGTTCAATGATATTTTCTATTGAAATAAAATTTCAATGAAATTTTCTATTGAAATAAAATTTCATTGGAATTTTTTATAGAAATAAAATTTCAATGAAATTTTCAGTGGTGATAAAATTTCATGAAATTTTCAATGGACATAAAATTTCATGAACTTTTCAATGGAGATAAAATTTCATGAAATTTTCAATAGAGATAAAATTTCATTAAATTTTCTATAGAGATAAAATTACATAAAATTTTCTATAGAGATAAAATGTCATGAAATTTTCTATAGAAATAAAATGTCATGAAATTTTCTATAGAGATAAAATGTCATGAAATTTTCTATAGAGATAAAATTTCATGAAATTTTCTATAGAGATAAAATTTCATGAAATTTTCTGTAGAGATAAAATTTCATAAAATTTTCTATAGAGATAAAATTTCATAAAATTTTCTATAGAGATACAATTTCATGAAATTTTCTATAGAGATAAAATTTCATGAAATTTTCTATAGAGATAAATTTCATGAAATTTTCTATAGAGATAAAATTTCATGAAATCTTTTATAGAAATAAAATTTCATGATTTTTTCTGTAAAAATAAAATGTCATTGAATGTTTCCTTAAAAAATAATGTCAATTAAATTTTGTATTGAAAAAATTGCATGAAATTTTCGATAACAATAAAATTTCAAAAGAAACTTTCTATAGAAATAACAATGCAATAAAATTTTTATGTGAATTAAATTTTAGTGAAATTTTCTAAGGATTTTTTTTTGCAAAGAGATTTTTAATAGAAATCAAATTTCAATAAATAAATTTTCTAAAGAAAAAATTTCATAAAAAATTTCGATTTCAATGAAATTTTCCATAGAAATTTGAGTGAAATTTTCCATAGAAATATAGATTTTTTATATAAGCTTACTTCTTTCCCTTCAATTCTGGTAGATGGCCAGCCAAAATGGCAGCCAAACCCGAAGCACCAGCACCTTCCACAACACATTTCTCTTCCTCGACCAAACGAAGAATGGCCAAAGCAATCCATTCCTCTTTGACCACAACCATTTTATCGATCAATGGCAGAGCTGTGACAAAAGCATTATAACCCACCTTGGGCACTGCCAAACCATCGGCCAAGGTGTTCTTAATGGGTGTGTGAATTGGACCATTGTTTTCCATGGCATTGGAG